CCGGAAATTTCCCGGTAGCAGGGCCTGTCCTGCTCAAGCCTGTCGAATAGATAGTGGGAGTGACATGGTCATCGATTTTCTGGGGTTGCTGCTACTTTACAGGGCCTTGTCCCTGTGCCAGTGCACCTTATGGTTGGGAGAATCCTTTTTGGACATGGGAAAGTGCAGTCCTACTGGCAGTGATGTTTCCAAACCGATGATGTGACCTGATCCCTACCCTATTCTTCGACTGTTTTTAATCACTGATCTCTGTTTTCGCTATAAATCGTAGCTTCACTCTACTTCGTCTACTTCACTGGTATACCCCTTCTTCATTACTCCGTTTGCTGATACTAGCCTAGAATTTTCTCCCGAATTTTCGCTTCTTTCATCTTTCTTACTGTTTCGCTTCTCTGATTTACTGCAACTACTGGCTAGCCCCTTCGCTATTTAGTAAGTATTGTCATAGTTGCTTGTAAAACATAGCACACATTCAAAGATTTTGTCCTTCTTCGTGATTTTACAAATACCCATTCCCACTCCAACTTCTAATTTTCATTTCATAATATTTTTTTTACATTTACTTTGAAGTAATTAAAACTACTTATTAAGGAACACATTTGACTTCAAGTTAGTGCTTTGCTGTCGCAGGCCATGTCTTTCAGGATATGCACTGTTGTTCTACACGCGGATCATTAGGGTGGTTGCAGAGTGAACCTCAACAGTACGTTTTCTGCGTGATCCAAATTTTATTGCGGTTCAAGCTTTTCCTAGGCCGCGGACGCGTTCATAGCTTGCGACCGGAGAGAAATGTGGACTTTGCTGAATGATGAGAAGCATTAGATACGCATCGATTTGAAGAAATGCAGATTCCGCATTTCTTAATTTTTATCACCGTCGCAAGCCATGAACCCGCCTTCGACGGTCCTGATCAGATTTGTGCGAACTGGTCTATAAGCCGGTTCCACCCCCCCCCCCCTCGCAGTGATGAGCAATTGAGGTTGATAAAAGCCGATTTATTGTTTACATATTGATGCTCACGATATGATCAGACTACGTAGTATATTAAAAATCTCTTTCGGATACTAAATGAGGGAAGACTGTCATAACGAATCTGGCGGAGACCGGACTTCTAGTACAATTTCTTCTAGGCTGTGTAAAGGAAGAATTCGCGATGAGGAGCAAGAAGTTCGTTGGTATTGGGGTAAATAAAAGTGTACGTACCAACTAACTCTTCGCGAATAAAAAAAGTGAAGAAAGGTTTAAAACGCTTGAAACCAAGCTTCCCATGTGCTAAGCACGAAAAGCGATTTGATCCCTGAGCTAGAGGCCAGAAGAGAGCGACGAGAAAGCACGCAAACGAGTAAGACAAGCTATAAGTTGACTACTAACATGGGCAAAGCCACGGACTTTTTCGTTTTACAACCTTGTGCTTTACCGTCGCTACCTTACGACTTTCTAAAGAACTTTCTAAAGCGAATCAGCTTAGTACCGATGTGTGATCGTGGGCAGTATCTTTGAATGAGAGTGGTTCAGGAACAGTCACTCAACTGCTGGCTCACTTCATCAGGCACGGCGAGTAGCTCTGTGGTTCTCCGATATTAATCTGATGGATTTTCTCGTGATCGCAGAGAGAAAAGCGTGCTTTACCAGCATCCAAATTTGAACTCTCTCAAAGTAGTGCTCCTGAAACCCTGGGACGAAACTGATTATCACCCTGCGTGCCGCAAACGTAACGTTCGTCCAGCGTATGAAGAAATCTGTAAGGGATGAATTTGATCATTTCGAAATTTTTTTCTCGGTTTGTAGTAAATAATATAATGGCTAGATAGGATATCTGGAAGTTAATGTCGAGGTGGCAATGCACTGGTGCACCAGTAATTCTAACCGACCCTGTTTACTACAGAATACAAAAAACTATAAGGAACTCGAATTATAAGTATTCGCCGATATATTTATTGGCTCTGAATGGATATATTCACAGAATGTTTGGCTGATTGTTGAGCAAACTTTTATCTGCTATCTGTGCTTCTACGAACCCATTTCATGTTGTAGTAGCAGTCCTCATCGAATGGGTTCCCGTTCATCATATAGTATTCGCCATCTGAAATTCGATCAGACTGTAGATGATGCGTTTCACAGTGAATAAGGTTTAGTCTTGCTGTAATGAGTGGAACGGCGAAGCTCTTCTCTTCGTTGAATCTTTATTATATGACAACGTTTCGGGCATAAGCCCTTCTTCAGGTCACTCGATCTTAAATCAAACAGCATATACCCTTACAACGTTACAGCATCAATCGAGTGAGAAGCAGGGTTTAGACAAAACATTATGGAGAGGGAAGGAGGCAAAAGCCTCCGTCAAGCCTCACTACGTAACCAGTAGGACAGAAATAAAATGGAAGGATTGGGATTATTTATAAGGGTGCGGGACAAGGGTGATCTAGAATTCGTCACGTATTTCTCCACTGTGCACGTCTTATATTGATAGCAAACTCATTGACACTTTCATCTCCTTCCTTGCTGTTGATGGGTGTTCTTGCTGTTATATTTCACAGCTCCCTTTCTTTCTTTCACTGGACATTTCTGTGTAAATGAGATGCGAAGTTCTGGCGATATTTCGTGAACGTGCCTTATTGCGCGGTGTCTCGAGAATGGATTCTCCGTTCTCGGGACACCGGGACGGAATTGTGTTGCTGTCGAGGTAGTGTGCCTTCATGTCACCGAGTTTCACATAGGAGAAACAATCGAGGCCACTTCGCAAGAGATGAGATGAACCGTTAAGAATGCGCCCACAGAGCTACGCGGAGAACCCTTCTCGAGACACCGCACACTAAGCACCAGAAACCATATCTCCATTCTACACAGGAAATGCGAGGGAGATCCTGTTGTGAAAGATCAGGAAGGCACCGGAAATAAAGCAGCAAGAACCACCCATCAACAGCGAGGAGGAGGTGAAAGCGGCAATGATTTTGTTACCAATTGCAGACGTACACGTGACAACGACGCTATGTGGGTTGTCGTGCATGAGTTCTTATCACGACTGTGAAATCCTCTCCTATTGTACGTTCGGAATGATGTTGGTTACGTCATCACGTAGTGCATGCCGGTGTACTTTATACTCTGTTCATACACTAATCTATCACTCACCAGAGCTTGCATCTGCGTACGCAATGTTCGCACAAGTACAGTGACAGATGATACCTGCGCCACTGTTTGGTTTTGCTCCACGATTTCGGCTGGAATGCAAAGGAAGCCCATACCAAGCTGGTGGATACATACGGTGAGGACGTCATCTCTTACATGACATGCAAGAATTGGTTCGCCAAATTCAAGAAAGGAGACTTTTCTCTCGAAGATGCTCCGAGGTCGGGTCGGCCGATGGAGTTGGATTTGGAAGTACTACGTTCCACCGTGGAAGGAGGACCCGTACCTCCACCAGAGAAATTGGGCATCTAGTTAATGATCATTCGACGTTGCACGGTGGACTAGAAAGCTCGGTCAGGGCAGGCAAGCGCTTGTGTCGATGGCTCCCACGATGAACCTTGTCCGCTTATGACCCGTCATCGCGAGAGTGAGGGGTGACCACCTGCACTTCTGGTTTCTCCTCACTTTCCAAAAGAGGCTTCACTTTCTCAACTCGATGATCACTGGAGATGAGAAGTGGGTCCTCTACGATAACCCTGTGAGGAAGCGGCAGTGGGTCGACAAAGGAGAACAGCCAGAAGCCACCCCAAAGGCCGACCTTCACCCCAAAAAGGTTCTCCTGTCCTGTTGGTGGTCCAGAAGAGGCATGGAATACTGGGAGCTGCTGGAGAAGGGACAGACATTGATGCTTCCACATACATGACCCAGCTGCGGAGAAAGATACGTCGACCGTACTCGTGGAAGGAATGCGGAAATCAACAAGGCGAGCCAGGCGCGGAGCGTGGAGAGTCTCAGGCGGATGGCTGATATGTCGCCCACCCTCCCTACAGCCCTGACCTCGCTCCTTCTGACTACTGGCTGTTCAGCCACCTGCAGCGCTATCTGGACGGAAAAAAGTTCGAAACAAAGGATCAGGTCAGAAAGGCGCTCGACGACTTCTTCAAGTCCCAGCCCTTCGTCGTTCTGGGTAAGAGGAATCGACAAGCTGCCTTGAGCCTGGGCCTGATGGTGAAGGGTGATGCGTGATGTGTCGTGGTCTTTTCGTAATCTCCAGGGCGGGTCGTGTTCATATTTTACTGTAAATCTTTTTTTGTGGTAAGTAACTTATTGCCCGACACACTCACCTAGGAGGATCCCTGTCCCGCACCCAGAGAGCCCTATCTTCCACCTTTTATTTCTGTCATACTACTACGTAGTGAAGCTTGACGGAGTTTTGCCCTCCTTCCCTCTTCTACCTAGTGTGGGTTGTTGCTACTTCCACTTATTAATGCTGTAACATTGTAAGGGTACATGCTGTTTAAAAGATCGAGTTGACCTGATGAAGGGTATTGCCTCGAAAACGTCGTCATATAATAAAGAATTCAACGAAGAGAAGAGCTTCGCCGTTCCACTCATTACAGCAAGACTAAACACATTGAAGCTCAGGGAACCATCGACAGTGAATAAGGTTATAATGAGAACTTGGCATTGCTCCTCGACATCTGTAGCACCGAAAGCACTCATGATGATACTTCTTCCTCATGGCAGTCACACAGGTCTCACGAAGTGGTAGATGGCAGGCTGAAATGAATCACTCTTGTAGTAAATAGTTACTGTTTACCTTCTTTCTCTCGGTATGAGGTACATTATATTTGCAGTTGTCGAAGAAACATGCGGCCACCGCCTGTTAGACGCCGACTGGAAGCTTTCTGCCCTTTTTTGCATAAATTTATAATAGGTTTTCAAGTATCTCTTCTTGAGTATATGGATCGCCCATATAGATAAGAATATATAAAAACACGCAGAAGTATGCGAGAAAAACTAGGGCGGCGTTCGTGGTGCGCCCTATACCTTGGAAAATAGCGGTAACTATATCGGGCAAGGATTGAGACGTCGTCAAAGCCGCAGTTTGAGGTTCGAATCGGTGGTGGCTCGACGTTTGCTGCTGATGACTAAGTGGTATAGTGTTGGAGGTCAACAATCATCACTTCGTCGAATATTCTTCGAATATTCTTCCCAAGGGTTCAGAACAGGAACCGGATCCAGGATAGGCACCATGAGGGTGTAGTTTAATGGCGCAGTTGTCTTACCATGAACAACGCTTCCTACAACGGGCAGCTCAAAATACTATACTACGGTGTTTTCATTAGTCCATCGTTAGGAGAGGATTCAGTAGAGAAATAGAGCATCGAAGCTATTGTAACGCTGACGCTAACGCTTTAGCTAATGACTGCTTGAGCCGGTATTTTCTAAACATTTCATAGGCCCTGTTTAAAGGTCAGCAAAATAAAAGTGCGTCCTCAATGCATAGAAAGATGTGACCCAGAATCATTCAGACAATATGCCGATGAGTTCGCATGATCCTTCTGTTCGATTAGGCTGTCATCAGGAAAATTCTGTGATCCAGTGATCCGGACGAGTCGTTTGATCTTGGGGAGTGGGTCGCACGTGCCATTTTACGTCACTGCACGTTACTGGCAACGTAATCGTGCCATGCGATCGCTTCCTAATTATGTCCCCCCCCACAGTCAGTCACCAGTGTCTTGGATTCTGGATATTATCTCAGAAAAAGGTCTTTTCTCCAAAAACCGTCAGAACGTGGGATGCCAGGGAAGTGGCGAAGCTGCACTGGAAAGTGCAATTTGACTTACATCTACAGTGACAGAAGATCAAGGAGAAGAATCACATCAAAGTGAGGGAGACGGGGGCAAGAAATGTCGTAAAAAATGGCCGTTTCGTCGCGCGCGACAATGGGCGCGACGTTTCCTCAATTTGCACTACTCTATCAATTGGAGCATTGGATTTCATGTAGGCAAGGATATGGTAGGCACTTATGTATATTTTGGTCATACATTGTCTATCCACGACCAATACCACCTAAAATCGTCGTCATTAGCGGGCGCGACGTAGTCGCACGCGACGGCCAGTGGCGCGGCCATTACGATTCTCTTGCCACATACCCCAAAGTGAGGGCCAGGGAATAAACAGGTTACTTCAATCCCTGTCATAATGTTTTACTTGCTGATTTGAAACGTGGAAAAAGTAGGCGTGTGAGAAAACGGCAGGGCTGTAGATATGAGGAGCACTGATAGTTCTTATAGTTTTCTCAAATCTGGAAGATAAGCTCCCCTGACCCGTGAAATGCCTTCGTAACATTTCCCTTATATTTGCACGTTCTCGGATGCTCAAGAACCCCAAGGGGTACTGTTCTGGAGAGCTCTCATGGTTTGACTCCTGCTCAGGAGTCTTTTCAAAACAATTGTGCAGGAAGCTCTCTGAAATACCTTCACAACAAGGATGTTGAGTTTCCATGTAGCAGTCAATGCAGATTGGAGTGCTGCCATCTTGAGGAGAAGCACGGCATCCGCTCACAGTCACAGGCGACTAAATACATTTCTACAAGAACTGCCGGTAAAACGCACTTAGAATGGGTTTTGCAAGCTCCCAGTAGGAGCTCTCCGCTAGAAAGTCATTAAGTTGGGAGAGCAGTGGAAGAGTTGTAAAAGAGTGGAAAAAGTCCTGATTTATGGGCAAATATCTCATATCGAAAGCCCTGAACACCTTTACTACTTCGTTCATCATCGCTTTAACGCATACTACTTTGCTTGTGAAGCTGTATAAGTGTTGCAGCCTAAGAACCGTCTTGGCCGTTGTATACGTGATACTCACCTTACAAATCCTGCAGAATAAATGCTTTAGG